TCTATATGTCTGTAGTGGGGATTTTCAGAGGATCTTTCCTGATCAAACCTGATCCTCTTTAACCTTGAATGAATCCACAGCCTTTTACTTTCTGTGAAAACAAAAGCATAACCTCTTCTCCAACACAACATATTTTTTGACTTCCATTTTCAGGTAAAGACATTATTAAAATATATAGGTTGGTTTAACTCAGCAGTTTCCATAATCCAGTGTCTCTCACCAGCTATTGTTTATTCATCAGCAATCAAAAAAAAAATTCAAAGTCAACACAATAACATACAGGATCCAGACTCCCTGTGTATGTTTCATCCTTACATGGCTTATCCTTTTTATATTATTTTATTTTTTATTTAAAGACTTTGTCTTATTATTTATAAACTATTTTTTCGGTTACTGTCTATACCCCTTTTCTTTTCTTTTTTTAAGCCTAAGCAATCTTTTAAACACACTGCAATTTGTTTAGAGTTTTTTTCCTGTCTGGATCTGATTTAATATGTACCTGTAACCTTTTTCATCTGTATGAGCAAAACTTAAACTGCCGCACAGCTTAGCTCATGGTGCACTGGTGGTTCAATCTTGCAGGCGTTGGCAGGAAGATGTATCTCTGTCTCTGTACTGTGGCTTTCCTGAGAGACTGGAGGACTAGGAAGCCTCATTTGACTCTGTTTCTGTGTGTTTGGAACCTTTTTTTTTTTTTTAAGCTTTCTCGGATCTTTTGTGGAAATACATGGCACCCTTTGGGTACCATTTGTAGGTGAATTTTTCTGTCCCATCAGCCAGCTCCCAAATCATAACAGGGAGACTTATTATTAATTATGAAAGTTCAGCTGATAGCTTAGGCTCATTTCTAAATAGCTCTTATAACTTAAATTAATCCATTTCTATTAATTTACATGCCGCCTCATGGCTCATGGCTTATCACCTCATCTCCTACATGTCATGCTTCCTCAGCATCTCCTTGAGACTCTGCCCTTCTTCCCAGCATCCTCTGTGCCTAGAAATCCTGCCTAGCTATAGGTCATTCAGCTCTTTGTTAAGTCAATCAGAATGACATATATATTACACAGTATAATCAAATATCTTGCAACACACGCCAGCCACTTTACCCTATGGTGAGTCTCCAACCATCCAAGTCCCTCTCCATCCATTTCAAGCCTAAAGGGTTGGCTAGCTGGTTTCTGTTGCTTCTTCAGATCTCTTCCTCATGTTTATCCACCCTGACTATGGTCTGGAAGTCTGACTGAGGTAACTAATACAAAGGGCCAAGAAGAAATCAAGGAGCGAGATAAGGTTTTGGGGCTGGCCACATCCCATTTACCACAGCATAGCACTGCCAACCACCAAGGGCTCTCACATCAGAGACACGCCCCTCTTATAGTCCTGTCAGCAAAGGGCCTTTCAAGGCAGTCCTGGATACTGGCTTCCTTTACCACAGTCTGTACCTTTGCAAAGAAACCATGTCCAACTTGATTAGAGTTGGTGTGTGCCTTGTTTCCTGTCGGGGCTGTAAACACACAGGTAGACGCAGGAATGCATGCCCACCCAAAGATGGCCTAATCATTCCCAGCAAATCACCAGTAGATGTCTTTAGTTGTATGTAAAAATAAATGCTGTGTGATTGGCACATTGGTCTCCTGTAACCAGGAAATAAAGGACTTCATTTTTTTCAATCACTTTGAGATTCATCTGGAGAGGCTGTGGGGCTCAGCTAGTCTCTTCTTCAGCCAGAGTGAAATGCCAGTGGTATTCTCGAGGGGGAGAGATGGAGTTCTCATTTCCACCATCTGCCAGGGAAGGACTGGAAGGAAGAGGCAATAAAAAGAGCTAATTTACTCTTTTTGGGAAATTAGGCAAATCCCAACATTGATTTTACGAAAGCAAAAAGAACATTACTATGTGGCAAGTTTCCACAGACACTTTTATCCAAATGTAATTCAACCAATGCTAACTCCAGAGCTAAGAGACCAACATGCTCGCTACTCTCCATGTGTGGCTATTTACATTTACATTAATTGAAATTAAGTATAATTAAACTCTCACCCCTCAGTTACCCCTGGACATGTCAGGAATGCTCAGTGGTTGCAAGTGACTAATGGTCACAATTACCACAAAGTGTCTCCACCATTGTAGAACATTCTTTTGTGGACGCCATTACTCCTAAAAAGTCCACTCCATATTTTTTTATGCTGTGCTTTAAAACTTATCATGTTTATTGAATTTTTAACAGATACCAGTAAAGCATTTTATGTCCAGGTGTGTGGTGGCTAATCCCACCAATCATGGAAGCTGAGGCAGGAGGACCGCTGTAAGTTCAAATCCAGCCTGGATTTTATGATGACATGAGAGCCTGTCTCAAACTAAACCAAAAACCAACCAAACAAAACCCCATGAGTGGGTTTTGTGATATGCACAAGTTGGAGATTTCTTTTTGTGTTGTGGTTCTGAAAGGAGCAAAGATTAGCTTTAAAATTAAAAATTAGCTTTAAATTTAAAATTAAATTTCATAAAAAATTAAACTATTTATTTCAAACTTTGCAGTTTTTTCTCTCTCTAAATATCAGTATCAACAGCAGGGGAACTAAACTGATTTTTAAAATTAATTCTTTTATGAAGCTTAATTCTTTAAAAAGTATTGTATAATGTATTAAAGATTTCTTCTAACACATTAAAAGGAATAGTTTTAAGTTAAAGTATGAAAATCAACCACTGAGGCTGACATTCTGCCCACCTGCTAGACTAAAGACCAGTGAAAACCTCCGCTACTTAGATGCACAATTTGTTTGAAAACCACAGAAAAGTGAAAGTCGCCAAGCATTCTAGCCACAATAAAAAAAAGCCACAAATAAACTTATGAAAAAGAGGGGAAGTCTATGCCAGCCTGACAAAACTAGCATTCTAGCAGTCTAAAGTATTAGAATGGGCTAGTATCCAAAGAAGCCAAAACAAAGAGCAAGCTTCACATTAGTGGACATCTCTAGATGATGTTTGTGTGCACTGTGGCATGTGTCTTTTATAATATTTTATGTGAAACCACTTGGCAATTTTTCTCTTTGAAGCTCTGACCCAGAGGACTGGGGTGTTCTCAGAAGGGCTGTCATCATGGCCAGCTGGAGCATCTTCTCCTGAAAAATACATTGAATTCCAGACTACAATGGAGGGAACTGAAAGCAAGCTGTTGACTGCTTGATGTTGACATATGTTTTTTTTCTGGAAAAACAAAATAAAATCAAGAGAAGTAGGGGAAAGGCACATTGAGGTCACTTTGGTTAAAGTTGACTAAGATTGGGTGTGAACATTTTTTTCAAGGATTTAAAAAAAATCAGTCTTTAAAAAAAAAGATTTTGTGCGTGCTTGTGTGTCGGTGCCCCCCCCTTGTGTGTGTGTGTGTGTGTGTGTGTGTGTGTGTGTGTGTGTGTGGTGTTCCCAGAAACCAGGGAAGGGACTAACAGCATCCTTTGGAGCTGGAGTTACAGCCCGTGTGGATGCTGGGATCCAAATTCTAGTCCTCTGATAGAGTGGCAAGTGCTCTCAACCACGGAGACGTCTCTCCAGCCCCCCACTTTTTAAAATCACAAAACAATTCATATTTGTTATAGAGGCATTAGAAAACAGAAGTGAACAGACTGGTGGGTGTAACAGGATCAAGTTACCCTCCCAAGAGGCAAACGTACTCATAGTGTAAGACATACTCTCAGGATTTGTCTCTTGTATAATATTAATGTATTGCTTGAAGGGGTACAAGGACATTGTTAAGTTGAAATTATATTTTAAATATTGTTGGTCAGCCTTTTCCACATACCAAAGCATCTTGTATTGTTAGAAATATTGAAAACATTGATTTTTGAGTAGACCTGTTCTGCATGTTCTGAGGTGTACAGAGATTTTGTGTAGGTACAGAGTGTTCCCTTCTCATCAGGAGCCTGATTCAGACTGTTTGGTCCAGTGAGTTACAAAAGAACCAGCTCTCAGTTTAAAAACATTCAACGTCAACAAACGTCTCCTACTTTTGTGCTCCCCAAACCCACTTTAATTCTTTCACTGCCTTCCCAAATCCAAGACATACACGTTTGTGTCTCTTCGAGTACTAGAGAATCTCCCCTTTAAATCACAGAAAACCAAGAAAAAATAGCTGCTCATCTTGAATTAAACAGGGCCTATGTGTTTGTACCTGAGGACAACATGGTCGTGTTGAGCCCGAGATACTGTCAGTCTGTGGTTGGGACCATCCATTTGGAGAATCAAAGGTCCCAAGAAACAACGTAAGTGGGAGGGGATTTTGGTTCCCCATCATGCAAAAAACGGCACACATAATTGAGACAAGATCTGCATGCAACATTATATGGCCTGAGCAAGTTGTGTTTATGTATTTAGGAATATGATATAATTGCGTTGTATCATATGTGTGTGTGTGTGTGTGTGTGTGTGTGTGTGTGTGTATACATATACATATATATAAAATATATGTAACAACGATTAAAAAACAAGAGGCCATAAATTTGAAAGAGAGCAGCAGGGTGGGGTACTTGGGAGGGTTTTGAGGGAGAAATGTTGTAATTATAATCCTAAAACAGTTTAGAAAGTTAAAATAAATAAATAAATATTTGGTAAATAAATAAGATTGGTAGCTACTATTTGAAAAGAAGAAATCCAAGGCAGAGCTCAACTTTAGGAATACACAGTAGAGTAATGTAAGAGATGTGTGGGAGACTTGGCCTGTTTTCTTACAGAACAGGAGGCTTGTGTAGATTTCAGTCTGTGGTGTGATCCCCAAAAGCTTCAGCATAGCTTGCTTGTCTGTGACCTCCAAAGTCTGGAAAAATGACACGTGGAGATCGTGAGCCTGGGAAACACAGTGAGACTCTGTCTCAAAGCCATTTTCTACACCTCCGTCCTCCTCCTCCTCCTCTTCCTCCTCTTCCTCCTCCTCATCATCGTCGTCATTTGGAGACTCTGGTTTTCATGGTCAGTTTCAAGCAATTGCTGGGTGTTATTAATTTCAGAGCTGGGAGAAGACGGAGAGAGAGTCTACCATACAGACTAGATGGGTGCGAACAACCTTAAGGTGTCTGAAAATAGAAAATTGTGAGTAATTACTGCTTTGTTTTTTTTCTGCTTTGTTTTTTTAATACAATTTCTTAAATTGCTGGTTTATATAATTTAGTTTTAAATAATATTTGTGTTTAGCAGCCACAAGGAAAATCAAAGTAAAGTACCATGGCCCCTTAGTTGGGTTCTGAATACCACTGATCCAGGCTCCAGAGCCGTACACATCGGATATCAGCAGCACCCACAGCTGTGGCTCTGATGCCCCTGAGACACTGGTGGTCCTCCCTAGGAGGATGAAGAGCTGCTGAGCAGGGCCAGCTGCGACCCTGAAGTTTGCATCAGCTTCTGCCCACAAAGCTTCCCTTCCTAGGCCGGTAGCAGAACAGAACAGCAGCACAGGCTCTGAGAATTTGTCCACATTTCCGCAGACATCCTCCCCCTTTCTATCAGTCCTTCAGTCTAAATTCTTTGGCTGAAATTTGTTTTATTTTCATATCCCACTATCTTTTCCAAAATGAGGTTTTTAGCTTTACATGAATTTATTATTTTAATTTTATTTAAAAATTTTAAATTATGTGTATCTGTGCCTGTGCGTGTGTGTGTGTGTGTGTGTGTGTGCGCGCGCGCGCGTGTGCAGGCAGGTGCCTGAAGAGGCCAGCGTCTCGGATCCCCCTGGAGCTGGAGTTATAGGCAGTTGTAAGGCACTCTGTATGGGCTCAGGGAATCAGGCCCAGCCCTCTGCAAGGGTAGTATGTACTCTTAATTGCTGAATCATCTCTCTAGGTCCTTATTTTTCATTTAAAAAACTCTAAACACAATTATTTGCTGTCCGTGTAGGAACACACGCCGGGGTGCGCAAGCGGCAGCCGGAGGACAGCTTGTGCGAGTCGGCTCTCTCTTCCCCCAGGTGGGTCCCAGGGATGCAACTCAGGCCATCAGGCCTCACGGCAAGCATCTTTACCGCCGATTTCGAGCCCGCGTTTCTTATTTTAGATTTATTTATTTTATTTTGTTTGTGAGTGTTTAACCTGCATGTACGTGCACCACATTCATGCCTGGTGCCTGCAGAGGCCAGACAAAGATGTTGGAGTCCCTAGAACTGGTCTTAGGCATGGTTGTAAAACACATTGTGGGTATTGGGAACCAAGCCTGGGTCTTGCAGAAGAGCAGCCAGTGCTCTTAACCACCGAACCATCTCCTCAACCCTGATCTTTGGTATTTTAAAAAGCAAATGTAACTTCTAGGGAGAAATGGGAAAATACAGTGTGATGCTTGTCTGGATGGTCAACTGGAAAGAATGTGGAATCACCCATGAGTCACACATCTGGACTGTCTGTGAGGCTAGTTCTAGAAAGGATTAGCTGAGTGGAGAGGAAACTGCTTTCTGAGTAGATGGCACCTTCCAACCAGCAGGTGAGACGTGAGGAAAAGTAGCCTGCCTTTGCTTCTGCCCAGGTGAGTGTCTCTCACTGACGGTGCCATGCTCCTTGGATATCAGTCTGCAGCTCCCTCTGCTTTCCAATGCGTTCTGAAGACCAGTGACTCCCCAGGAATCCTCCAGGCCTTCAGCACAGGATCGGGACTGCCGACATGTGCGAATTGAACTGCTACCAGGTCCTCGGCCTCTCCAGCTTGCCGTCAGCCATGGTTGAACTACCAAGCCCTTATCACGTAAGCCAACCTAATGAAATGAATACCACTAGATTTTATTATGTGTATACGTGTATTTTATATTATATATATGTACACACACATGTTTTATTGATTCTGTTCCTCTAGAGAACTTTTCTTAATACAAATTGTTACATAAAAAGGATATAGAATGAGGCTACCAACTCCAGGAAAAGATATTGCTAACATTATTATCCTTGTTTTCCTATTCCCCGGGAGGCTCTGGGGCCTTCACCTGAACTTGCCTAACTTAGATTGAAGTTTATTATTAGCAACGTTCTCAAGAAGGAGCCCGTTTGGGGTTTTCTTTCTTTTGGGAGAATAAGTTCTCACCGTTCCCTTTCACGTATGAAGGGCTGTAATAACAGCATTACTCCCTCACACCCCCTGTTCCGTCTCCCCAGCCTCTTCTCTCATTGACGTCTGTCTTCGGGCGATAGAGCAGGAGCTTGCTGAGAGAAGACAGGAGTGACACTGTGAGGCCAGTGTGCTGGCTCCGTGGTGAGAGAGAGAGAGGTCATGCAGGCCTGATGACGCGGGTTCAGAATCCGTGCATGGTGGACGTCATCCTTTGACCGCCACGTGTGTGTGGTGAGAACACAGTGGCAGCTCAGTGTGCAAAGCTGCATGTCTCAGCATGTGCTTACCTGCATACATACAACACACACACACAAACACACACACACATACACACACACACACACACTCACATGCAGGCACACACACGCTCTCATACACATTAACACACCTACACATGAACATACACACTTTCACACACACTCATACACACACACTCTCACACCCATACACACATGCACACACACAACAGTGTTTCCTCGTTCCTAGTGCCAAAGCTGCCCAGCCCCGACCCCAGCCCACAGAGCATCGATTTCTGTCCACGTTTCCGCCGTCTCACTGAGGGCAGCTCGTGGCCTGGACAGGAAGGACACTCTACACTTCTTATAAAGCCTCTCTGTGCCCCATGTCACCCACATCTGTGCCTCTGCCTTCAGCAAGAGGAACTTTCACTTCAAATAGTGCTTCTACAAAATCTGCGATTCCAATTTCTACCCTCACAAGAAAATGTGCAGAATGATAAAAATAGTGTGGTGATGGAATATTTCCATAGAGACATTCCTTGAGGGGAACATGGGGTCCCCCCTCTGGCCACACTGGCCACAGGAAAGCTCTTCACCCATATGCTGCGTCACTTGCTTCAGACCCCATCTGAGCCAGGCCCGGACTGGCAGGCTGCCTTGTTGAAGTGGGCCGGCTGCCATGCTAATTGGTGGCTGTGAGTGCAGACACTAGAACACTAGCGCACACATCAGAGCTGGGGGCGGGGGCTGCAGCCCAGACATGTCAGCCAGTCCACTGTGCTGACTCTGTGTGCCGGGGCAAAGCAGAAGACCGTACCAAGGCCACTCTGGAAGCTCACCATTTGTAAGTGCCTTGTGTAGCTGAGAAAAACAAGGAAATACAGCCTGAGCAGGAAAGGCCAAGGCTACTGGCTTCTAAGAGAAAGAGGTGGCACCTGTATCTCAGGCACACGGTTTTTCTTTAGGTGGCTCTTTGGTGAGAGAAACTTGCTAGCAGAGTGCTTGGGTGGCTAGAGAAGCCACTGCATGGGCTTGTGGGGGAATCACAGTGGGGGCTGATGAGGTTGCATGTCCATTCAGCTTCCTACACAGGAAATGTCTGCTCCTGCTTGCCCTTGGCATTCCAGTGTGCCACAGATCTACCAACTCAGAACAAGGGCATCTAGCAAGTCAACCTGTGTCATGAGTTACAGGTCCATGAAAACCCGAGTTTTGTGGGGAAGAGGTGAAAAAGCACCCCATAAGAATAAGGGAGGCGTGGGAGACTGCTCTAAGTGCAGCATGGCACAGAGCATCCCACATTTCTAGACCGGGCAGTGGCCTTCTCAACAACTTCACAATCGCCATCCCAGGAGAGAATGCAGTTCACAACAGAAATACTGAGTTATCACAACAGAAGACCAGATGAGGGGCTACACTGATAACTGGCAAGGATGAAGCTGGACCTCAGCGTAGACATCTCCCTCAGGACAATGTACCTGACCAAATGACTGACGTTCAAGAAGGATTCTGTTTGAAGACTTAACACTCAGTCCTTTAACTGTGTGTTGACGCTTGAATCAAATGACCACGTCCCGGAATACGGACCCAGCCATTCGCCCTCCCTCAGCTTTTCAACTGGCTCCTTTTCAAAAGCATTTTGATTTTTGCTTGGAAGAAATTGTTGCTCCAAGTCCAATTGTACATAATTTCTCCCTTCCTGATTACAAGAATGCTTCCTTCTTCTTCTTCTTCTTCTTCTTCTTCTTCTTCTTATTATTATTATTATTATTATTATTATTATTATTATTGATGTTTAAATCATAAAGACGAAATAAAAAAACTGCCATGTTCAGAGGGAAATGGTGGTCAAAGTCAATGAAATCACACTTTCCTCACTTTTACGTCTTTCTTGGTTTTTGAAAATGTCATTTAAAAAAAGATCTGCCCCAGAGAAGCAGGGTGAAGTGCAGTAGTCTGCGACTGGAGATAAAGTTCTGAATCCTTACCACGGGTCTTCATCGCTCACTTTAAGCCAATGGAAATGCGTTGAGTTTAGGAGGGAACGCCCGCTGCACACAGGCCTCTGTGTCCTACTTGAATGGAGGGTTGACACAATGGGGGGAGCGCTCCCTGGGTAGCATTCGTCAATGGATAAGAAAAGTCATTTGGGCTTAGTGACTTTCTCTAGCATCTTCTAATTTTGGATGTATTCTAAGCCTTTGGCACAGCAACGTGTGTCCATAATTCCCAGAAGCCCTCATTAGGATGACTTGTGCAAGTGAACATTTCCTTACCCTTGATTCAAATGATGTAATTTTTAATCGTTCCAATCTGCTTTCTAAACAGCCACCACCCCATCTGTTTTCATACAAACCGCCCTATTCACAAGGACCTTTGAAAAGCTTCAGGTTGGTGGGTGACACATGTTTTTCAAATGTTTTCTCTTCGAGGCTGATTAAAGGTCAGAGGATGGAAGTGGGTCATTTCCCACCCCCAGTTCCCCTCATATCATTTCTTAATCTATGCTACCTAGTAACCTTTAAACTTCTAACTCCATATTTACTTCTGACATTCTAAATAGTGCGTGAACCAGTTTCTGCTCTGAGCTTCCTTTATCATGTTTACTTCTGAAACAGAGGTGGTAGGCAGTGGAGGACTCGTTCAGCTCTGGGTGGTTTCCCCACACAATTCTGACTTCTTAGCCACTCAGCATCCTTTCCACATGGTATAAGAACTAACTTCCCTCTCCCCAAAGGCACGGTTCTCCTCAGTCCTCGGAGTTCTGACTGGTTGGCCCTGGGTTCAGACCCATCTTTGGTGGATTCAGTGGAGTCTGTCACTTGGAATTTCCTTCCTGCATTTCCTGAACCTGTCTTGACTCAGTGTGATTGCAGTCCAGGCCATTGGCTAGTGTTGTCTGTCACTAGCTCGGTTACCCAGTACTTGGAGTGTTTGGATACCTAGGATCTGCAAATGTTTCTGTATTGGTTTCCTAAGACTACAACTGCAGAATATCACAACTAGGTAGGTGAGAGAGGCAGGAATTCATGGTCTCGTGGTCTGCAGATGAGAAGTTTAGACCTAGACATTGACAGGACCCCATTCTTTCTAAAACCAGAAGGGACATAGAGTTTGGACTTTAAAACCCTCTTTGGAAGACGCAACCGAACCCATAATGCTCTCTGTTGACCTCTGCTGTGTTAGCCCAGTGTATCTGTATTCTTTGTCTACCTGTGTTTAATTAATGGATTAGTTAACACTGGTGGGTCACAGGAGGAAGCAGGGAAGAAGTACAATCCCATCACTGTCTGCACAGAGCTCCCGCTGGAACGACAACCTCGGACAATGAGCCAGCACACAAGAGGTGGTGTGAGATGAAATTCTATGGTGGGAACAAGCAGGATCTCCTGTAAGGGAAGCAGACCCAGTGGGGGGGCTGCTTTAGAAAGGACATTGGTGCCAGGCCTGGGGGAGTGTCTCAGTGGGAGAGCGCTTGCCTGGCGTGTTCAGTTCTCAGGCCTGTGTCCCAGCATAAAAACAAAAAGGTTATCCAGAAAGGCTTGCAAGAAGGGTGTCTGCTGCAAAGGTAAGGTGGGGAAGAGGTGGACAATATTCCCGAGAAAGCGAAGGGAAAGTCAGACAAGTGGAGATAGGGAGAACCTATTGGTCCAGGGAACCGTCCGAAGGCCACTGCGAATGGAACGTGGTGAGCGACAGTGAATAGAGTGCAGCACAGATGTGGCCAGATGTGGCCTGAAATGAGGACAGCACTATAGCAAGCAGGACCTTGCAGCCACCGGAAGCTCTGGGAATGTGATTTTTAGGGACAAAGACTCAGACAGACGTGATCTTATTTGTGATTTTCAAAGGACCACTCCATCTTGCATGAAGTACAGAGAGAGAGCACCAGCGACCTCAGGGGAGTGGCCAGAATGGTGTCCCTGTCATTCAGGTAGAGCATGGGGCTGGCTCGGCAGGTGGCGGCATTAAGAAGCACCAAGAGGAAGCTGACTCAAAGGCTTTTCTGGAAGAGAATTTACAGGGCCTGCTTCTGGGAGGATATTGGAGAAGAGAGAAAACTTGGCTATGGTGAGGCTTTGCACCCAGCTCCACGCCCTCTGCCACACACCACTCTGCCACCCCAATACCTGCTGCTCATTCAACTGGCCTCACCTGAATCCCATGGGCTCCACTCATACATCCTACATGGAGAGCCCTGATGGGCTAGATCTCAGAACTGCCAACTTCCAGCTGAGGTCTGGGCTTCTGAGGGCCCTTGGGCCTCTGTGCTGCCTTCAAGGTGAGAGCTGGCTTTAGTCTTCAGGCCTCCAGCCCCTCAGTGCCCTTCCCTTCCTGTCTACTCTATTGGCTGAAACCCCCACCCAACACACCATGTTTAGACCCCAAACTCCACTGAAGAGCTTTCTGACACAATAACAAGTCTCCAACTCTACTCTGCTCCAAAGGCAGCGAGACAAAGAGGATGAATCCAGATGACACGTGGCAGAGTCACATGCCACTCCTCCTCTGGAGGTCTGACAGGACTCATACCACAAATGCGAGGTTGAGGAGGGGCATCACACACCACAGTCCCTGAGTGGGACTTCTGTGGGGGCCTCTGTTTAATGAACTCCTTGCCTCTTAGAATCAGCCCCACCCTACACACACCGGATAATGAGCTGAAGATGGAGAGACTTTACAGAGGACCATGTCTGGAATAACTTAGCTATCAGAGGCTGGCCAAGGGGACAAAGGGGTTTGTCCTCCCGATCACTCAGAACTTACTTGGTCTAGTTTTTACATCATTGAAGCTGAGTGCTTGCTTCTTGGAAGAATCATCTCATTCTGGGTGGATAGCCACCCACCAAGAAAGCAAACGGCATGAAGTATTCCCCATGTCCTGCCTGGGAATATACAGTTCTCTTCAAAGGGGTGGACTCCGTCCTTCAGTGGAACAATAGTCAGGAGGCTCAGAAGGTACTGACTGTGAAAGGTGGAGCTGGTACCTTCAACATACCACTGCTCCAGATGTCTCACTGTGGGCCTTGTCTCACCCCCCAAGGTGGAAGGTTGCTCTCCTCCCCCTGCTCTTATGGAACACTTCTTCACGAGTTTGAATGGCATGGGTCATGTGAGCTGCATGATGGTCAAGAGTCTTATCCCGGGGTTTTAGACATTGGGGGATGTGTAGCAGGCCCTTTCTGAAGATGGACAGTTGAAGATGTGAGACAAGTTATAGAGGAAGCTGGCTACAAAGAGATGCTTCATGTCTCCCTCTTTGAATTTTATTATTTCCTTTGAGAAAACACAGGCGGTTTCCTTGGTGGGTAACTTCTTCTTCTTTTTTTTTTTTAATTGCAATCCATAGTTGTAACTAATTTGAATCTGCTGTCCCATTTTACAAGTAAGGACACTGAGTCTTGGAGAAGCCATAATTGCATGTGGTTACATGGGCAGTTGGTGGTGGAAAAAAAGTCTTAGATCTGGGTTTGGGAGACTCCAGTGTGATGATATATTGTGTACCCTAATAAAATTTGCCAGAAGATTAGAGAACAGAACAAGCCACTAGATTAAACATAGATACCAGACAGTGGTGGCACACACCTCTAATCCTAGCACTTTAATCTGAGTGGGAGGCAGAGATCTGTCTGGATCTCGGTGAGTTCAAAGCCACCCTGGATTACATGAGATTAACTCGGTCCAGGAGAGAAACAGAGCCAGGCAGTGGTGGCACACAACTTTAATCCAAGTACTTGGGAGGCACACACCTTTAATCCCAGCACTTGAGATCCCAGGCCTTTTGCTTGGGAAGCACACACGCCATTAATTCCAGCACTAGGAAGGAAGTGGTGCCTGGGTGGAGAAAGGTATTTAAGGTGTGAGGAGACAGGAACTAAAGGCTTTTCTGCAGAAGTGTCCCAATCAACTAGAGGCTTTTTTTGGCTGGAGCCTTTCGGGTGGACTCAGAGAGGATTCGTGAAGTTGGTGAGGTGAGCTGTGGCTTGTTCCTTTGTCTCTCTGATTTTTCAGCATTTACCCCAATATCTGGCCCCGGGTTTTTATTAAAAGACCATTCAGCATTTCATGTTACACTCCAGAAATTTCTTTTGTGTACACAACAGACATTTTATAGCAGGTATCTCTAGTTACATGCTATTTCCATGAAACCCACTTATAGAACAGAAAGCTGCCATTGGTTGAATGAAAAAAGCAGGCCATGCTATACCAGCTAAATAAGACATTTGCTTGTGGAAACTGCCATAGAGGTTAGTACAATTTTCATTAGATAGTGAATGAGATATTTTATGTTGACTTATAATGATGTTGCAGACTATTTCTTTAACTATGTAAAGAGGTGTTGCATTTGTTTAATTATGTAAATGTGTGTTGCTGTTTTACCTTGCCTGCCTAAGGCACCTGATTGGTCTAATAAAATCGGAATGGCCAAGAGCGAGGGACGAGGTAAAGGTGAGAATTCTGGGCAGGGAGAGTAATAGGAGGAGGAATCCAGGCTTGAGGGAAAAAAGAAAAAGAGACAGAGAGAGAGAAGGAGAAGCCAGCGAGACACCAGGGGTCATCCAGACAGACAGATACAGAGAAAGCAGGAAAGTAAGACATACAGAATGAAAAAAAGGTAAAAAGCACCAAGGCAAAATGTAGATGAATGTAAACAGGTTAAATTAAGGTATAAGAGCTAGTGGGACAAGCCTAAGC